GCCCTCTATGCATATGGGAGGGCACTACATGAACCAGCAGGCCCCATACTTGGCGTTGAGATGCACGAGGCCCCTGTTGAACCGTCTACTCCACCCCCCACCACCCCCGGCCATGAGATAATTTAAGATCGCGACCCTCAATGTCCACGGCTGCAGGAAGGGTCTCCAGAGGTGCTGGATACTCTCCTTCCTTCAGGAGTGGGGTACCCCATGGTATTCTTGCAGGAGACTCTGATGACTCCAGCTGATGAACCAAATTGGTGGCTGTAGTGGGGAAGCAGGGTCTTTTTTAGTCACCTCTCAGCCACCAGGATGTTGAGGTGGTGCCAGGCCGCCTGCTGCACCTCTGAGTCCAGGTGCGGGGGCTGGTCCTGAACTTTCTGAATGTGTACACCCCTGTAAAAGACCCAGAGGTGGTGGATTTCTTCCACCAGGTGGTCACATACATCGGCACCCTCAACGCTCGTGAGTGCCTGGTCCTTGGCAGGGACTTTAACGTCACCCTAGATGCATGAGACCGGTCAGGCAAAGAGCAGAACCAGCCACCATGGGCATCCTCAGGGAGATCCTGATTGACTACTCCCTGCTGGACATCTGGCATGCCTGTCACCCCACTGAGCCCCCTGCCTTCACTTATGTGAGGGTGGGGGAGGAGCAGGCATTCCACTCCCTGTTAGACTGGGTTTATATCTCTTTGCCGCACTTTGCCCGGGCCCATTCCTCTGGCATCCCGGCCGACCCCTTTCAGTGATCACCACCTTGTCTGGGCCCAGGCCATGCTGGGGCCTGGGCATCTGGGGTCGGCTTACTGGCATTTTAATGCCAGCCTGCTGGAGGATGTGGGCTTCAAGGAGGCTTTCCGGGAGTTCTGGCTGGCTTGGTGGGAGCAACGGGCAGTTTTCCCCTTGGCTCGGAGATGGTGGGATGTGGGGAAGGTGTGCATCCGGCTTTTTTGCCATGGCTACACTTGGGGGCACACCCAACAGAGAGAGATGGTCCAGAAGCAGCTTGAGCGGGAAGTGCTAGACCTGGAGAGGTGCCTGGCCACTGTCTCAACCAACCCGTCCCTCTGTGGAGAGTGTCAGGAGAGGCGGGAAGAGCTTCGTGCTCTGGACGACCAACGCACCCGCGGTGCATTTGTCCGCTCATGCTTCCAGCTTCTTCGGGAGATGGACCACAGCTCCTGCTTCTTCTATGCCCTGGAGAGGAAGTGGGGGGCCAAGAAGTACATCACCTGCCTTCTGGCGGGTGACGGCACCCCCCTCACAGATCCAGGCGAGATGCACCAGTGCACTCAGGCCTTCTATGAAGACCTCTTCTCCTTGAATCCAACCAGTGCTGAGGCCTGCCAGTAATCAGGACCAGTTGAAAGGTCCTCTCACTGTGGCTGAGTTTTTGGCCACCCTCTGCCTGATGCGTGGCAACAAGGCTCTGGGCATCGACGGGCTGACCTCGGAGTTCTACCGGGCTTTCTGGGACATCCTCGGCCTGGACCTTGCTGCAGTCTGGGCCAAATTTAAGGGAAGTGGGGAGTTCCCCCTGTCATGCCAGAGGGCTGTGCTGACCCTCCTGCTGAAAAGAAGGGAGATCCCCATGACCTAAGGAATTGGTGTCCTGTATCCCTCCTCTGCATGGACTACAAAGTAGTAGTGAAAGCCATCTCGCTACGCCTGTGGTCCATGCTGACAGGCATGATCCATCCTGACCAGACATACATGGTGCCCAGATGTTCCATCTTTGACAACCTGTACCTGGTTTGGGACCTGCTGGAGCTAGTGCACCAGGAGGGCCTGTCTTTTGCCCTCCTATCCCTGGAGCAGGAGAAGGCGCTTGACAGGCGTTTGGCACACTGAGGCCCTTTGGCTTTGGGCCCTGCTTCATGCGGGCTCTCCAGGTGCTGTATGCCTCTGCAGACTGTTTGGTCAAGCTCAACTGGACCCTGACAGAGCCCATCCCATTCAGGAGAGGGGTGCGTCAAGGCTGCCCACTGTCAGGCCAGCTATACGCCTTGGCCCTGGAGCCCTTCCTCGTTCTCCTGCGGAAGCGGGTGGCAGGGTTGATGCACTGGGATCCGGTAGTGCAGCTGGTCCTGTCAATGTATGCTGACGATGTACTCCTCATGGTCCAGGACTCAGGCGACCTGGTGTGGGTGGAGGCCTGCCAGGCATTGTACTCAGTGGCCTCCTCTGCCCGGGTCAACTGGGTCAAGAGCTTTAGCCTGGCGGTGGGTGACAGGTGGCAGGTGGGATCACCCCCACCCACGCTCCATGGGATCCGCTGGGGCGTGGGCTCACTGCTTTACTTGGGGGTCTACCTGTCCTGCACTGACCCCTCCCCACCAGAGAACTGGCATCAGCTGGAGGCATGGGTGGTGGAGCGGCTCCGGGCATAGGCAGGGCTCTTGCAATGTCTCTCCCTGTGTGGGAGAGAGCTGGTGCTGAACCAGCTGGTCCTGTCCATGCTCTGGCACCGCTTACACACCCTGCCTGTGCCCCTGAGGTCCTGGCGGGACTCCAGAGATGAGCACTGGAGTTTTTCTGGCTGGAACAGCACTGGGTCGCTGCAGAGGTCCTGAGTCTCCCCTTGTGGGAGGGCAGCCAGGGCCTGGTATTCCTGTGGAGCCAGGTCTTGGCATTCTGCCTTCAGGACCTGCAGTGACTGCTATATGGTGTTGGCAGCCACGCAGCATGGGGCCACCTGGGGCGGGCTTTCCTCTGCCACTTCTGGGGGCTCCGATGCAACTAGCAGCTCCTCAGCCTGTGGGGCTTCTTCCTGCAGGACCTGCGAGGGCTGCCAGATTTCTACCAGGACCTCCTTCAGGCCTGGAGGCTGGTCTCCTCCTCCAGGTCTCCCACAACAGTTGCCCAGGGGGCCAACCTGCTCGTCGAGCCCCTCCTCTGGAATGCCCAGCTGGAGGTGCCAATGGCAGAACACAACCAGGTTGCGACAGAGGTTGATCTTGACTGGTGTCACCCATATTGAAGACTTCCTGGACTATGAAAGGCAGGAGTGGGTGGACCCCTCTGCACTGGCCCGGTGCATGGGTCTACCTATGACATGTGCAACCTGCCGTCTGGTCCAGGAGGTGAAATCTACCCAACCTCCCGACGCCCTTGCCTTTATTGACCAGGTCCTGTACGGTGGCAGTCCCCGCCCCCCCATATCCTCCAGCCCACCGGAATTTGTCGTGGGGCTGATGCCTTGCCTGGCTTCATGGCGCTCCCTGCTTCACCATCTGAGTTGGCTGGAGGACACCAGACCGGTCCACTTTTCCATCGTCCATTGCCATCACCTCTACATGCTCGTGCGCTGCATTGTCCATCATGCCGCCCTCGGGTCCCACTCAGACACCAAGTGGCGGGACCTGCTCGGCGAGGGCATGGCTGGGGCACCCCAGTGGCTGAGTCTGTACTCCACCCTCATCCCATGAGCCACTGGGGACCTCAGTTGGAGGCTCCTCCATGGAGCCATCGCCATGGGCGTGTATGTGGCGAGCTTCATAGACACCCCAGTCTCCTGCCTCTTCTGTGGGCAGAGGGAGACCCTGGCGCACACGCCCCTGCGCACATGACCCTTGAGTGCACCAGGCTGCAGCCCCTCCACCTCCACCTCCAGAGCCTCCTCTTGAGGTTCTGGTTGAATTTCACCCCCCACATTTTTCTTTTCGGTCACCCCATCCACGGACCCACCAAGTCCCGGGACCTCCTGGTCAACCTCCTCCTGTCCTTGGCCAAGTGGGCCCTGTATTTGACCAGAAAGGAGGCTGTGGCCGGGAATGTGCCCAGAAACTGCAGGGCGGTTTTCCTCTTACTTGTCCATGCATGTCTCCAGGTGGAGCACCAGTGGGCGGCGTCCCAAGAATTCTGTTGAATCTTTCATCCATTGGCCCCACACAGTAGGGGCTAATAGTTAGCCAGGTGGGCCTTAGAGCCCATGATACTTGAAGGATACAAATAGACAGGAGCTTCTGGGGCCCGGCGACTTGGTACCTGGGGACACTACCCCGTGTGCCAGCTGGACTGCTGCAACAGCATACCAAATCCATTTTTAAAAATACCCCCAAATTTATGTTCTTCCACAATTAAAACAAAAGACCACTCTACACACACACACACACACACACACACACACACATCTAGAGAGAGAGAGAGAGAAAGCGCAATCAGTTGGGCAATGCTTTATTGGTATATTTACAATGTTAAAGCAATGTGGAAGCCTACCAGTGTCTCTATCATCATGATAAAATAAATTCTAAATACCTATATGTGTTGATGTGTACTTTTGGTTTTCTTCATACATGAAGGGTGTGTGATGGGGGGATGTGGTGTTTGCAGGAAGGGGTGGGAAGGGGTGTGGGTTTATGTGGAGGGATGTGGGTTGGTGTGTGGGTAGGTGTGGGGCGATTGCTGGGGGGATGGTGGGTGTGGGGGACCTTGTGGGGGGACTGCTCAGGAGGAGTGGGTCCCCTGGCCCCCACATGGTGCAGTCAACCCACACAACACATGGAATGCCCGCCCCCCACAGGGCCCCAGCTCCCCCCTGGGGGGCCACAGCCCCTATCCTCCACAGGGCCCCACCCCCCCCACCCAGGGTCCCAGGCACCCTGGGGGACCCCAGCCCCCCTGTCCAGGGCCCATAACTTACCCTTAGCAGCAGCAGTGGGAGTGGGGCACTCTGAGCCATGGTGGCAGGACCCAGGGGTCTAAAAAACCCAAAGCTAAAAAAAGCGAGGCAGGAGGCTGGGCAACCAGAGGCTGGGTCCTCCAGGGAGATGCTCTGGCTGCCAGAACATCTCCGTGGTTGGCCTCTCGCCCTGCTCACTTTATCTTACAAGCTGGCATGCCAGTTAGTGGAACATGCTGTCTTGTAAGATGCCAGATAACAAAACTTTTACTGTACCTTTTTATTGTCTTCGTAAGTGAATTTTAAACTGATATTTTTTCTCAGTATGAAAGTCTCTAAAACACATGTCCAGCATCCTGAGTCCTTCTGAAAGACCCTCACAGATTAAGAGCCCTGCCCAGTGCCTTCATTACCTCCCTGTTTCTCAGGCTGTAGATGAGGGCGTTGACCATTGGGGTGAGGATAGTGTAGAAGACAGACAGCACTTTGTTCAGGGCTCTCCAAGTATCCACTGTTGGTGTAAGATACACAGTGATTAAGGTCCCAAAGAAGACGGTTACCACAATGAGGTGGGAGGAGCAGGTGGAAAATGCCTTTTGTCTCCCAGTGGTAGATGGGATTCTCAGGATGGTGGCAATGATATAAGCATAGGATGCCACAGTCAGTAGAAATGGGGGAAATGCCCCTAAGGAAGTAAAGGCAAAAATTGCCAGTCGGACCAGGTGAGTGTCTGTACAGGATAGTTGTAGCAGGGGTGTCAGATCACAGAAGAAATGGTCAACTTCATTGGGGCCACAGAAAGTCAACACTGGCATTAAGTTTACTGTTATGGTGGAAGCCAGGTAGCTGGTTATCCAAGAACCTGAAGCTAATTTAGCACAGATCCTTAAGTTCATTGCAGCTCCATAATGTAGGGGGTTGCATGTTGTTAAGTACAGGTCATAGGACATGACTGACAAGAGGACACATTCAGTACAGGCAAGGAAACTAAAGATGTAAAACTGAAGGAGGCAGCCAAGGGAGGAAACAGTTTTGTTATTGGTAAAGAGACCTGAAAGCATCTTGAGCAAGATGGTGGAGTTGTAGCAGGTGCCCTGAAACTCAAACAGTCTCTGCCAGGAGAAAAAGACATGGCTGTTCTTTCTCTTGCCTCTCAGTCCTGCTTGTGTCCTGTCTCTGTCTCTCTCCCCCTTGTCCCTGGGTGCCTCGTGTTTCAGGACTTCTCTAGTGTGCCCCCCCCTCGAGATGAGAAATGGCTGGGAGTCTCTTCAGGTGTTTGACTGGAAGTCCCTTGATGTGTCAACAGAAGCCCATTAGTTTTTTCTTGCTTCATGGCCCAAGACCCACTAACAGAGCACAGAGGCTGATCTTTCCAGTTCTCCATGTCAACATAATTATCTACTTCTTCCCCTGCATACAAGCTGCTTAGAAAAAATAAGGCATGCAGTATTATTGTAATGTGAACACATTTAAAGGAGAAACATTACAACAAAACCAGAGCCTGTTCTAACCTCACCCATCAGGGCTTGGAATTTGCCATGGCCTGGCATTGCCTCTTGTATCCTCCCCTTGAAGCTCTTGAAAGGAGAGGGCCATGGGTTCTGGTCTGTGCCTCAGTGGTTTTTCTGCTCCTTTACTTTTTCTTCATTGATATTTGGGACTAGGGCAATAGCTCATAGCTACCTCACACCTAGGACAGTATCCCTGTCACTGCACCATGGTTCTTTTGCTTTGTTCTCCTCCTGTCCCACCATATCTTTCCCTCTTAGCTGCCATGCGATGAGAAGTGGAATTGTAGAATTGTAAAAAAATCAGGCTAGAAGGGACCTGCAGGGAGCCATCTAGTCAAAATGGTGTTCTAGGTAGAATCACCCTATCTAAATCATCCAAAAGTACTGTTAGTCTAAGCAGTTCTTCAAATTTTTGAAGGCCCCTAACACACAATCTCTAGGTCTAATGCCCCAAACACACTTTATGTTGCCACAGGTAAAGCAGAAGGATAAAGGCACTGTCAGTTTCCAAAAGGAAGAATTTGGTTAAAAGTACACTTGAGAGGTCCAAGGAAGAGGACCATATCTACCCTGCTATAGAGGAACGCAATGCAGGTTTGTGCCCTGCTGGAAGAGATGTGTCTAGAATATGTATGTCCAGTTCCATGAGGAAGGACGTGGACATCTAGGCTTTTGCTGGAAAAGGTTGGTAGATCTACTCCATTTTTCTGTGGGCAGTTATGGGCAAACCCGATCAACCTGCCACAGTTTAAATTAGAATTTAAAATCTGTGAAAATGCCCAAAAGGGTAAAGTGGTGCCATGGTCACACAGCGAAGGACAATTCTGTAATCACTTTTCCTACACCCTTTTTGTTTGTTTAGATCTCTATAATCTGTAAAATGATAGCACAGGGCAGCTAGCATCCATCATTAATCTGACCAGAGCCTCCCTAGCTTTCCTGGTTTCGCCTTATGTTGAAGATGTTCTTTGATGCCCTTCTCTGTATTTCTAGTTTTACCCTATCCTTCTTGGGATGGGGTGACCAGAACTGCACAGAGTGCTGCAAATGTGGCTGTATTTTGGATTCATATACTGTCACAGAGATGTTTTCTGTTTTATTTGCATGCAGGATTGTGAATCCTTGTCAGAGTGAGGTTTGCAAATTTGCAACAGGTACATTTTAAGAGTAGTGATTTTAAGACCCATCTTCTGCCAAACTGGACATTGTGGAGACTACCTTGAAGCCCCAAACATTCCCCAAGCACTGTATGGGGAGGGCAATCTCCTTATTTAGGTCTACAGATTCCCACAGGAAGCAGAGGATATAAAGGACAGGCCCTGCAGCATTGCCCACGGGAAGAAATTTTTAATAGAGAAGATCTTGGGGAATTTTTTTTCTATGTTAGTTTTTGTCCAAACATGGCACATTTCAGCACAAAATGGCATTTGGAGTGAGGAGGAGCACTCTGTTTGACACATTCCGTACTGGTCAGAAAAGCATCTGAAACAGTATCACAAAGTTGACCCTTCCCTGTAGAATTCTTCAATCTGCATCTTACAAAGAAAGGCATCCCATGAGGGAACAATATTCATTCAGCTTCAGCTTTGAGAAGGGAATAATATGAAGGGAGTGGGGGTGGAAACTTAATTGATAGGGAACTGCATACCTAGGTTCTGGTTGCTTTGAGGATGAACCACCGACTGCCTTGTCCATGTTGATGCCAAGGTCTTTGGGAAAAGGGTGACTGTTTCTCACTGCGTGAGCTTGCTGCTTAGTCCCATCCCAGTAGGAACTCATAGGCACTAGATATAGGCAATAAATACTATAAATCATATGATCCAGTAGTCACTGCAGGCAGTTTTACCCTAGGGCAGTGGTTCTCAACCTTTATTGTACCAGGACCCATTAGTAAGTGTTAATGGCCAGTCCCAACCCAGTAAATAGTTTTAGTCGAAAACAGCTCCCTGGCCCTGCCAGTGCCCCTCACTCCCAACCCACTGTCCCCACTCTCAGACCCCAGTGTGTGGGGCAGAGGGTGGGTATGTGGGGAATGGTGGGGCCCAAGCACCCTATTGCAGGCTGGAGTTCTGTTAGCCTGCAAGGGAAAACCAGTTTCCCATGTTTTTCTCCTTTAAAGGAGAATCTATTTTTAAAGATTGTTCACAAGCCTTTCAAATATTTTTGTGACCCACTTTTTGGGTTGTGACCCATGGGTTGAGAAATGCTGCCCTTGGTTTTCTATGCCTTTTAATTAATAGAAAAGAAAGCCAGGAACTGTAATAAATGACCGAAGAAACTACCTTTTTATTGCCTTCATAAGTGAATCTTAAAATGATCATTCGTTCTTAGCATGAAAGTCTCTGAAACACACCTGCAGCATCCTGAGTCCTTCTGAAAATTCCCCACTGACCAAGAGCCCAGCTCAGTGCCTTCATTACCTCCCTGTTTCTCAGGCTGTAGATGAGGGGGTTGACCATTGGTGTGAGGACAGTGTAGAAGACAGACAGCACTTTGTTCAAGGCTCTCCAAGTATCCACTGTTGGGGTGAGATACACAGCGATTAGGGTCCCATAGAAGATTGCTACAACAATGAGGTGGCAGGAGCAGGTGGAAAGTGCCTTTTGCCTCCCAGTGGTAGATGGGATTCTCAGGATGGTGGCAATGATACAACCGTAGGATGCCACAGTCAGTAGAAATGGTAGCAATGATCCTATGGATGTAATGGCAAAAATTACCAGTCGGACCAGGTGGGTGTCTGTACAGGAGAGCTGTAGCAGGGGTGTCAGATCACAGAAGAAATGGTCAATTTTATTGGGGCCACAGAAGGTCAACGTTGATATTAAGCTTACTGTCATGGTGAGAACCAGGAGACCGGTTGTCCAAGAACCTGAAGCTAATTTAGCACAGATCCTTGAGTTCATTGCAGTTGCATAATGCAGGGGGTTGCATATTGCTAAATACCGGTCATAGGACATGACTGACAAGAGGACACATTCAGTACAGGCCAGGCACCCAAAGATGTAAAACTGAAGGGAGCAGCCAAGACAAGAAATGGTTTTGTTATTGGTAAGGAGACCTGAAAGCATCTTGGGCAGGATGGTGGAGCTGTAGCAGGTCTCCAGGCAGGACAAGTTCCCCAGGAAGAAGTACATAGGGGTGTGTAGGTGGTGATCAGCCACAACCAGCATGATGATGAGGAGGTTCCCGGCCATGGTCACAATGTAGATCAGGAGAAACAGCAGGAAGAGGGGAATGCGCAGTATAGGTAGATTCCCAAATCCAAGGAGGTTGAATTCTGTGATGACAGTTTGATTTCTCATTTCTGTGTTTGCCATGCGGTGAACCTGCAAGAAATTATCACTAGACAAATATTGAAAAGGGGGGTGGGATTCACGCCTGTGCACTAAACCAGCAGTCAGCTGCAGTATCACTGAATCTCTACAGCATACAAGAACTCTAAACTTCCTATATTTTCATTTTTTACTGACGTTATGAGAATGAAAAGTGACATTTTCAAAATTTCATGTGAAATTAAGTCTCTTGAAATGTCTTTCTGTGCTGTCCTGAAGAGTTGGTTCCATTAAGTCAATTAAATGCTGGGTTTTTTCATTCCTATAACATATAGTTAGTAAATATAATATATTTACTGGTGAACAAGTTAAGAGGCTGTGACTTGGATGACTACACAGTCCGGTGGGTGGCGAATTGGCTAGAGGGTCGCACCCAGAGAGTCGTGGTGGATGGGTCGGTTTCGACCTGGAAGGGTGTGGGCAGTGGGGTCCCGCAGGGCTCGGTCCTTGGACCGATACTCTTTAATGTCTTCATCAGCGACTTGGACGAGGGAGTGAAGTGTACTCTGTCCAAGTTTGCAGATGACACAAAGCTATGGGGAGAAGTGGACATGCCGGAGGGCAGGGAACAGCTGCAAGCAGACCTGGACAGGTTGGACAAGTTGGCAGAAAACAACAGAATGCAGTTCAACAAGGAGAAATGCAAAGTGCTGCACCTAGGGAGGAAAAATGTCCAGCACACCTACAGCCTAGGGAATGACCTGCTGGGTGGCACGGAAGTGGAAAGGGATCTTGGAGTCCTAGTGGACTCCAAGATGAACATGAGTCGGCAGTGTGACGAAGCCATCAGAAAAGCCAATGGCACTTTATCGTGCATCAGCAGATGCATGACGAATAGATCCAAGGAGGTGATACTTCCCCTCTATCGGGCACTGGTCAGACCGCAGTTGGAGTATTGCGTGCAATTCTGGGCACTGCACTTCAAGAGAGATGCGGATAACCTGGAGAGGGTCCAGAGAAGGGCCACTCGTATGGTTAAGGGCTTGCAGACCAAGCCCTACGAGGAGAGACTAGAGAAACGGGATCTATTCAGCCTCCGCAAGAGAAGGTTGAGAGGCGACCTTGTGGCTGCCTATAAGTTCATCACGGGGGCACAGAAGGGAATTGGTGAGGTATTATTCACCAATGCGCCCCCGGGAGTTACAAGAAATAATGGCCACAAGCTAGCTCTTTCCTGCCTATGCAGGGGGTCGGACTCGATGATCTATTGAGGTCCCTTCCGACCCTAACATCTATGAATCTATGAATTTATAAAATATAATATATAGTGTCCCACTAAAAGATTGTAAAAGTCCAAATGAAATGAATCATAAGAACATTACCAAACCCAAATGTTTCTACATCATGGAGAGGTTTCAGCATCATCAATTCAAAAAAATATTTTCACTTTTCCCAATTAAAAAAACCAAACAATGAAATAGAAATGGACTTGTAAAATGGTTTGATTTTCATAAAGTTCAATCACTGACAGACAACTGCCTTCCTTTGTATCATGGGGCACAGTCATTTTCTCATGATCTGCTGAGCATACATTAGATACTACTTCTCTGTTGCAGTATTAGGGCATTAGAAGTGCTCTCCCCTCCTCTGCTTTTGCCTCTGGCAGGTTACATGGTATTCTTGGTGTTTTGGGTATTTTACCTGGTAGCTGCACATGAAGATTTGGGGGAATTGCTTGCTTTTTCAGGATTCTAACTCAACTGCTGTCCTATGTTCTATGTCCCCTCACCCCTCTGCCCTGCAAGACAGCACCAGTTCTCTTCAACAATGGGATTTGCTAATGAAGGCCTGATTACATTGGGAGTATTCTGACTGGAATTAACATGTCTGAGTCACCTCTGTCTTAGCTCTGTGAAAATCAGTATTTGCTACTGGAGATTTAAGAAGGCTGACTCCTCTCTGGATCACTGGGGTAGGAATCAGGAAGGAAAACTCCAGTGGAATCAATGGAGTTACATGGAGTTCAAACCAGTGCATGTAGCAGCAGAACAAGGACTGGAGATAAGGGCATTATTGCTAAGGATTATGGCTCATAAACCTGTGAACAAACATCGTTTCTTCTACCTATATTCTTTGAAACTGTTTTTACAAGCAGTTTAGTTACCTACATCTTGGTGCAAGAGATGGGTCAGACTAAGAAGGATCTCTCTTGCTGAGGATGCAGTTCTCCTAAGCGGTAGCTAGTCATTCTGGAAATTTACTCTATCAAGCTCATAGCACGTTAAATGTTAAACATTTTGACAATTTGAGTAATTTTTAGAAATTTAGTTTCTAGAAGAGACAACAAAATGACCTTGTCTCTTTAACTCTGCTGCTAAGTGTTTTACTCCATGTCTTGCTAGTTTTGGAAGATGATTTGCTAAGACATTCAAAAGCAACAGAGAAAAGAAATCTTTCCTATATTTCTGAATGTTAAGAGCTTGGTGAACTGAGTTGCTTGAAAAAAAATAACCTAGTTTTCATGGAGTTTTTTTGAAAATATCTGTTTTTACAGCTAAACAACAATTTCCAGTTTTTAGTTCTGTTTTCTTCTCTCTGCCTTTCTCAAATTCTGACATCCCTTTCAGCAGTGGCAAAATGTTAGAGGAGGAAAAGAAAACCCTTAGAATGTAGATAAAAATGGCTGCTAAAATGCTAAATAAAAAAATGCTTTTTTGATATTTTCTAAATGAATCCATAAATGTTTTTGTTTTTCCACTAATTAATTTATTTAGGCAGCTATTGTAGGAACATAGCAATTACCAGACTAATTTAAACTAGTACTCACTCTAGGAAAGAGAGAGAGACTTCTTTTCTGAATAGAATTTTAGATCTCATTTCCGCTAATTCAATATATCCAGGAAAACAGCAGTGGAAATAGACAATAATAAAAAAAGAAACACCCTGCCTTGACACAGGAACGTACAAGGAAACAATATCCAGGACTGCATTTATGTAGAGCTCCTATACCATGAAAAATTAGCTGGAATGGAAATGTTGGTTGTACCTTGAGCTTCACTGTCATTCCCTGCAAACTGATTGTGTATCTGCTCTCAGGCTTCTCATGAACAAGGCACGGGGGGCTGGGTTTGCAGAGTGTCCAACAGCCTTTGCTTTGCTGCTGCTGGTCTTTAAATGAAAGACCAGGGGAATTGTGTAATGTTTTTAGTGCAAAATTTGTAAACACTATGCTTAATTGGAGTCCAAGTTCTTTTCTCCAGGGAAATCCCTTATTTCACATGAGATGTGGGCTGTGTAACCTGGGTGTACTCAGGTATGTACTCCCTTCTCCAATTTAAGAGAAATGTCAGCAGGGCAAATGTGCTGTGGGGAACAACTGCTGGCTATGTGCAGTTTCCCTCCTTTCCCTATAGAGAGCCAAGCCAGGACACTATATAAACTGAATTATTTACAAATTTATTTACAATAAAAGATAAATATAAACATAAACACCAATATATATATTTACATATACTAAATTTTAACATCTATCTATCTATCTATCTATCTATCAGAATTGCCTGAGCAACCATTGATTGGCACGGGAAATGCAAACCGCGCCAGTTGGGCCTGGACACCAACATGGCCACACGTGCTCTTGGCTTCCCCCGACCACACCGAGTGAAGCAGAGTGGCCTGACCGACAGATGTGGAGGCAACAATTAGGTAAGCCGGAAAGAGT